TTTGTTGACAAAAGATTGTGAATATTATAAGATTGACAATGTTAAAGTTGAAGAGTTTGTGAACATAACTTTACAAGGGGATATGTAAATCAAGGTAATTTATTATGAATATAAGATTAATTCATAATATTCTTTATAAATTTTGTTTAGCGTATGCAATTATCAAAGTTTATCAGAAGAAATACTATAAAGATCAAAAAATAATTCAAGTTACCTAAATAATTAATGAAAAGTTTGTTTATTTTATGTGCTGGTAATTATGAGATAAAATTTATATACATTCGAATTATTATCCTTATTTTCATCTCTTTTTATTTTAAACATATCTGTGAAAGTACTGTAACTATGATGATCTGATAGATTTTACAATAGCCAAGTTAATATTAATCAAATGTATAATCCTATGTTAAACTCTAATAAATAAGTTCTTGCGTAGATAAATTATCTTCAAACATAAATATGTATGCTTTAAATACTTAATTAACGACTTTTGGAAAATTATAACATTTAATATGAATTTAACAATATTAAATTTTAGCAAAAATTTATATTTTATTCATAATTCATATTATATACCCATTATTTCACTAAATTTTTGTACAAAATACAAAAAAAAATATTTACTTTCGACTAAAAAAAAATCAAAATAAATTGTGAAGAAAGCACAATCATTGAACATGATTATGATATATATATATATATATATATATATATATATATATATATATATATATATATATATATATATAATATGGATACTGAGATCACTTTTATATTTATATTTAGATCATGTTTGTATGCATAACTATACTCATGTAGGTTCAAGTATATTTCTGAAAATAAGTATTTATATTCACAAAGGAAACATCTTATTGTTCGTATATTCACTTGCAAATTAAACTTGGATGCAAATATTTTATATGTTATTTCAGTAAATATAATAAAATTATTTTACTATAAATATGAAATAAAATTTATAAAGAAATGTGATACTGATTTATTGTGATTTTTTTTAAGGTCAATTACATGTTCTAAGTATAAACACTCAAATTGACACAGACAATTGTTTGGCTATAACTCCATGTGGAAAATTAGTTTTGTCTTTATTAAAAGAGACCTATCAAGAATTAGGACTAGAAGGAAAATTATCACAATTTTGTAAAAAAGAAGATTATCGATATAGTAAGTACAATTTATAAAACCTGGAAATTTCTTGTGATGTTGTTAAAAAGTTTCTACTGAAATATTCTTTTATATATTTGTTACTTTTTTGAAGGATATTATTTGAATTTAGGCAAATTTTGGATTGTTATTAGAAATGGTGAATTAACTTTCTTCAAAATTTTCTTGTTACTTTGCTCATAACAATTTAAATTAAATTGCAAACTGATAATAAATGTTTGTCAATATTTGCTGATAATTCAAAAATAAAGCTCATGCAATTGACCATTGTTATTTGATATTGACTTATTTCCCTTTCTTTTGCTTTTGAAAGGTATTAGGAATAGAGATATTAATCAAATATTTGTTCAAATAAAACCCCAAGACTCGAACGGATCTGAATTAACTTTTTTTTGAGTTGCATATGTTTTGCAAAATAATTAATTCGTAAACAATTCACCCAATAGCAATATTATATTTGCAGAATTTGTGACCTGATGAAACCATAATAATATTAAGTTCGTAATAAAAAAGGTTTTATTTCAATAATTGAATACAATCATGCCTAAGAGGAGGCAGCCAATGTCCTTGGAGAATATTGCTCTCCAAAATTTAACATCCTGGATATGTTTAATAGGACAAAACATCATGCCAAAAATCACTTACATGTCCAAGGCCGAGCCTGGAAATGCTTCTGATATCTTACTAAGTGTAATAAAATATCTCAGTGACATAATTCAGTATAACATGCCTTACAATCTTTATGACCGCCTCAGTCAAGAAATGTTCAAAGCTATCCCGGATTTAATAGAACGAACTAAACGTGCCATGGATTTAAGAACCTCTATGGCTACCTTTTTAAACCAGATAAATGTAGCAGTTACTTTATCTGAAGTTCTGTTATCTCCTGCTTGACTAATTTAAATTTTGATGATGTACCAAAAGTAATGAGGCATGTTTTTTACAAAAAATTGCCAAAATTGACAGGTTTATTGAGCTTAAACTTAGGCTCAATGTCTGGAGGATGGAAAACGTTTGACATGGAACCTACTGTAGTTAAAGGAATTTCAAATATGAAGAATTTATCATTTTTGTCCATAAATTATGATTGTACTGATAATATACTTTTATGCCTATGTGAGCACTGTCCAAATTTGAAAAGCATTGACTTGTCTTCTTCGAAATTGATAAATGATGACAGTATCGATATACTGATAAATTTGAAAAAATTACGCTATGTTCAGTTATATAGAACTTCAGTGACACTTGAAGGATATGTAAATGTATTACTGAATCTTGAACACATTGAAGACTTAGGGCGCTGCGATGAATTGGGTAGAGTTTTAGAATATATTAAATTCAATCATAAATTTCAAACATTTGGTTTAAAAAAATTTGTCAGCCGCTATGCTCCAACAAATCATTTGCAGCTTCTAGCGGATATGTGTCCTTTGATATCTAGTGTATCTATTTTCATAACACATTATTGAGTGATTTAATGGTTTTGATATCTTTTGAGCGATTGAATGATTTGAAACTTCTTTCATGTGATTTTTTTGCTGATCAAGTGAAACATTTACTTCAAGTAAAGGATGTAATTTAACATCCCTGCATTTGGAACATGTAGATGAGATTGATTTAAATGCCCTGATGTATATAAGCCAGTTTTGTCCTGATCTCAAAACACTAACATTTTATAATTGTGAAATGATACAGTCAACATCCTTATATACAAACAAAAGGTTAGATATTCCGCCATTCATGAATTTGGAACGATTAACATGCATTGCTGAATGTTTGCCACAACATTTGGACTTTTTATTGTCTAATTGTTTCAAAGTCAAATATATCCATTTTGGAACTTCTATTCCGACATCAGACGAACTTATTGAGAAGGTTTTGTCTAAAAATCCGATGATTTATCTAGAAGAACTACGTGTTTTGCATTCTGATAGACTAACCATAGCCTCCGCGTATAAGCTCGTAGAAATATGTCCGAATTTAAGTATACTCACTGAGCTGGAAAGCTGGCGTGTGTCACAAGTAGAATTGGATTGTTTCAAACGATTTATTAAAGAAAATAACTTATTTTTGGATATAACTCCTTTCCGCAGAATTGAACTGTAAAAATACTATATTCTGTGATATATTTGTAATTTAATATTTATTTGATACACTGTTTGTTTACCTACTTTAAGCATAATATGTATAATACTTTGAATAAAATTTCTTATAAAAATATCAACTTTGTTTTTTTTTCTTTTGCAGTTGTCCATATAGATCTGAAATCTGATTTATTGACGCCTGGGAAGAAATATTATGATCGCGTTAAATGGTGCCTTTCTAACAATTTACAGCCTATGTCGGTTATTTGGCTTGGATTCCAAATGAAAAATCAATTTGTCCATCATCCATTGCAAGTTATTTTGATTCATTAAAATATAAAGTTCATTTAGGCCAACCAAAATTTGAATCTAGAACTAATTATAGCGTGCAAGTTCCAATACTTGATATAAGCTCAAATGTGAAATATTGTACAAATGCTGAATTATTAGAATGGATAGGAATTCATAGCATAGGTGCTAGTTTAGACATGGAAAACTATGATTACTTATCAAGCTATCAAATTCCGGAACAGAATACCACATTTGGCCAAGTATTGTATTTAAAAGCTACAGGATTTTACTCGGCATCACAGGTTTTAGAAATATTTGATGCAATTAGGTAAGACTATATGGGATACTAAATATATATAATTACAATACAATTAAATCTCTGCCCTTAAATTTAAAAACATATATTTGTGACTTGTTTCACTGATTTAATTCACTCTATTATTTTCTAATAGATTTTTTTTAATATCCCAAGTTATTTCTTCTAAGAAATCTGTTTCAAAAAAAATTATGGCCAATAGATACAAACATGTCTTAACTTTTGGTTTCATATTATAACTAAATTCTGTAATATCAATCAAATTATTCATTTACTTTTTTTTTTTTTAACAGATCATATTCATCATCCCGTCCACATTTGCCTTGGATATCATTACATGTTCAAGGCTTTCATGATAGCCCAGTAAGCTGGGGATTAAAAGAACATCAATTTTACACAAGTGGGGATAATTCTTACACAATCGTCATCAAACCAGATGACCAGTTTATTTTACAGACAATTATAAGTTCAAATAAAAGACCTAAGTAAGTTTTTTTTAACTAAGTTTAAGTAACTTTTTGTGAATAGAATGTGATTATGTTGAAAAAAAAATATATATATATATATATATATATATATATATACTACATTTGTTACTTTTATGTTTATTTATTATTATTTATTATATTCTGTAATATTTTCTTCGTCACAAATGCTGAATGCCTTAAAAGAACATTTGAAGTCAATAGATAGCACCTATAAAATGTGATTTGAATAGTCTTTGGATTGCTATACATTTCAAACAAATCCATTCACTTTTGGCGAATATAAGTGAATTTTACAAAGTTCAAATTTAAAGTTTGAATTTCGCGCTCTAGATTATAGACGACAATTATTTTGACATATGTTGTCAACTTCAATTGCGTCAGTTGTCAAATAGATTTTCGTGAATTAACATGTGGTCGCGTTAATTAGGCGTTTTTAATTAAATCCTTGATTGGATTTTGTTAATTTGTGCATCAAAACGTGTAATTAATTTAAACGTTAATTAAAAGCCAAAAAATGGGTATGTTTGGAAGTGCCTAGTTTACCTTGAATAGTTTGATAAGGATATATTTTGAATCAATTTTATAATTAAACATTTTATTTACAGCGTCAATGTATCCTTTATTTATATATATGCAATTATAAAATGTATCATTTATATATGTGCTTTTGTAGGTTATACTTTATCACTTCCAACTCATATCTATTATTATCGATTTTTGAATTCACGAAAGTCTCTGACATAAATCGTGTGTTGTGTATTATGTAAAGACTTTACTTGGACAATTGCAATATGTCATGTAAAAGACAAAGTTATGTAGTGGTTTTAAAGTAGTGAGTTTGTATCGAGTACTTGAGATTTCTGGCAGTTGCTCCAGAGGTGGTTCGAGTAATGACTATGTGCCCTGGGAGCTGCTGTAGAGGATATCTAACGATGTAAGTGCAAAGCATGTTTTATACAAAGCGAGTCAAAGAATATATTTCTGATATATACAGGCATTTATCATATTACATCTTATACACTTATAATATTTTAAATATTCAGTATTCAACTTTTATATATATATATATATATATATATATATGCATTAAGTTTTTCTTAATTTTGAATTTAAAGCAGTCAAATAATTTGGAAAATCTTTACTTCAACACAATATTGTTTATCATCTTTAGTGAAACTATAATTTCAATAGAAATAAATTAGTAGGCGTTTACAATTACTGACGCAGATTGTATTACATGCTACTTTTTCTGCTCGTAATAATAATTTTTTTCAATAATAATATATTTTATGCTTGTTTTTCATATTGAATGAAATTAATTGAAAGGTGCTTTGAGAACTTGTCCCTTTGTTATCCGATATCATTCATAAAGCAGTCTGTATATACTTTACTGGAATATTTTCTGACTCGTGCATTATTATTATAGTATATACATATATCTGCTGAAATATTGTTTATATTATAATATTTGGATTATTATAGTTTTTTTAATCATGTATAATTTATTAATTTTTAGTACATAAAATACAATTTATGTTTTGTTCATTCAACTACAACTATTATGCTAATAAATGATTTTAAATTAATATGGCAGACATATGTGTAAAAAACTATGTTTTTATTTAATTTATTATGGGGAAAACATTTTGATTCAGTTTTTTTTTTTCATTTATTTATATATGTGCTTTTTATACATGTTCTAAATCAATAAAAATTGTACATCTCGTATGTATCAAAGACATTGTAAGTAATTTATATTATTACAATTCCATAAATAGTCAATCTGAAATTCTTTTGTTCTATAATAACACGATGAGCTGTTTTTGTGTGGAATTCAGAATTATTATTTATATTAAATATTTGTTACCAAATTATTAGTTAACCAATACAGCTTTTTGTATGCATTGAATACTTGTTTGTTGATAGGGCCCTAGCACTCTTCCTTAAGTAACTCCTAAATTGATGGTATTTTGTTACAAATTACAAATTTACTTTGTTACAAAAATCTCTTTCTTATAACACCTATTGTTCATTAACATACGGAAACAATTTTTTAAATTACATTTCTAGTATCAAGAATCATGTGTTTTCCCTGTAGCAATATTGACTGCACGTACATTCTTATTTATGATTGTTGGTTTTGATCAAATTATTCAAATACTCAATACGACTTACCAAATTGTTAATTGAATGCAGCTTTTAAAAGTCTTTCAATGTAGTTTTATTTTAAATTTATCAATTATATTGCTGCATAGCTAAATGATAGATTTTTATTCTTTTATTGCTAAAAACAATTTTGATCAAGACATGCAATCAAAGTTTCAAAGAGTTGACTTGAATGATTAGACAAAATTTAGGTTTGATTACAAGTACATTATTTGATTCAAGTTGTAAAAATTATTGAACTCGATTTCTAAAGGATGACAATGAGCTTTATAACAGTTTTGAAGTTTTTAATGTTCAAGTTTTTAAACATTTTTTATTATTTCATTTTACAAGTTTTATTGAATTTCTTTTTTGGCTTTTTCCAATAATTTGTATAATATTCAAGTCAGCTATATTTATATTTTTGTCTCGATTAATTGTAAAGGTTTCACATGTTTTATCAAGTCGTATAAACGATTTTGATTCGATTAATATGATTTTATTTCATCGATTAATTAAATAATTCTCTCCAATAATTTTTTTTTTTTAAGTCCAAATTTTCTGATTATAATTCTTTCGAATAATTTTTTTTTTAAGTCCTTTCAGATAATTTTTTTTTCTAAATCCAAATTTTCTGAAACCTTTTCAATTAAGACAGACGAGTTATTTATGCATGCTGTATTATCCCAAAGCCAACATTCGAATGAATGAGGCTCACATTGAATATTTCACAACGAGAAAATTTTATTGGGACAAAGTTAAAAATTTTAACTAAGTCCCAGTAATTTTTTCTCGTTGTGAAAACTTCAACGTGGACTTCATTTCATTCGAGTGTTGGTTTTGGGAATTGGTGTGAGGGAACACTAAAAAACATAAAAAAGTTTCAACGCTGAACAGAAAAGAAAAAAATTGATCTGGGACTTAGGGGTTTTTTTTAGGCTCCCACCTCCCCCTTCCCCCTCCTCCTCCTCCTCTTTCCCCTTTTTTCCGCTTTTTTTCACATTTTTTTTACTTTTTTGGTGTTTTTTTCGCATGTTGCGGTTTTTGGGTAGATTTTCGGGTTCGACATGCATCTTCCGCAATGTGTCTCTCTGCGTGTAACCTCCCGCATCATGGACCTCTGGTTGACCATCACTTGGTGTGTTCGTTTCAGGACCCTTTGCGCTCGCCAACAGCCAGCCACCAGCACTGCTCCTTTTTTCTGCTTCAGAGTTGCTCGTCGTCGCCTTCAGCTGGACTCGATCCGTCTCACCTTGTGCCTGCCTCCAGAGTGATTTCACCGAGTATGCGGTCACTTAAACCGCTCGGCTATTTAAGTTATTGATGATAAAAGTTATTTTTATTCCTATATTGTATTAATATTGAATTTTAATAAAGAATATGTATCATACCATCTCTCTTATTCATCATCTGCCTCCACCCCTCTCTTTCCCCAGTTCTTCCTCTACCTTTTTTTCTGTTTTTTTTTTTTTTTTTTTTTTTATGTATCTCTCTTACAGTCAAGTGCGAAACTTGAGTTTTTGTTTTTCAGAAATATACTAAGTGTCAAGGTCGAAATGCGACACCTGAATTTAATATTTTGAACTAATATTTGATAATTATGAAAAACTATACATTCGATTTTTCAAGCATCTTCGGGATTTGAACCGAGGCACGCTGAACAACCGTAGTGGTCACTTAACGGTCTCGACCAATTAGTTATACAGAACTCTCTGCTATTTTTAAAAATATAAAGTCTTATTTTTAAAATGAAAGATATAAGTTTCCTAAAAATATTCTATGCCAAATGTGCGAATGGCCGAGGTCGTAAAGATACGGTTTAGGCCAGAATAGCAATTCGAGGATCGACAGATCGAACCCCATTTGACTGAAAAAAATATTTGGACCCAATAATTTTTCAAACTGTGTAAATAAATAAGACATATAGATAGAATTAAATTTATTGAGTATATATATATATATATATATATATATATATATATACGCGTGTGTATATATATATATATATATATATATATATATAAGATAAGAAAAAGTAGGAGAATAATTTTTAATAAATTCATATTTACGCCTGGTTAGCAGTAAACCAAACCTACTTTGGTGTAATTTAAAAATCTTATTATTTTTCCGATAAAAGACAGTCTATCAGGAGCAGCCAAAATTGGCCAAAATCGTGACTTTCAAATGCAATTTTAAGGCACTTAATGAATGAAATTAATAATTTTAATTAATGCTTTGTGTAGACTAAAGTACAACCTTTATACCAAACCAAAAAAAATACAAATTTATCATCGCCTTCATAGTTAAAATCAGCTTCAAAGTTGGCAATTTTTCAAACTTCAATTCGGTACCAAGGGCAGAAGAATTTTTTTTTCCAAAAACTGATTTCATATTCGGAATCAGCACCTCGAAAACTATCAGAATCGGTCAAAACATTTTGAAAATCGCGAAAAAAAAATTTAATTTCATTAGTAAAATTTTGATTTTGCAACCAAAGATTTCGATTATCGGGGGGTGTATGTGGATTTATCCAAAAACGGATAATATTTTCGAAATCAGCGTCCCAAAATCAATCAAAACCAATCAAAACATTTTGAAAATCGCGAAAAAAAGCCGATTTTTTTTAAAAAAAATCGATTTTGCAACCAAAGATTTCGATTTTTCGCGGGGTGTGTGTGGGTTTATCCAAAAATAGATAGCATTTTTGAAATCAGCGTCCGAAAATCTTTTGGAATCAGTCAAAACATTTCCAAAATAGCAAAAACAAATCTATTTTTTTGCTAAAATTCCGATGTTGCAACCAAAGTTTTTGTTGTTTTCCAGTGGTACCCTCCCTGAAAACTCATCAAACAGGATAATTTCGTCCTTGGCGTAATAAAAAATCATCCAAAAACTTTGTCCAATAAATTCTTGATCATGAATTTCCTTTGGTATAGGGGAGACCCAGATTTTATGGTTCCTGTTCCTATAAGTACATAAGTACCTGTGATAAGAATAAATATTTATTCTATGGATATACATTTAAAATAAGATTATTTGTTACTTAATACTAGACTAGTAACAATAAGTAAGCTTTGAATATTTTATTTGAAAATAAAACCACAAAAACTTAGTGAAAAAATCCGTGGATAGATAGCTTTGAATAATTTGTAGGTAAGTATATAACCGAATGCATATAACTGCGTTCAAATACCTATATTAATGAAGATTCTGTCTGATATCAAGATGCCAAGAAGATTTATTCTTCATATACACCATCTAATATCAGACCGCAGAATCAATCTTAGGTGTAACAATTTACAATTTGGACCACGTAAAATGAAAGAAGGACTGCCTCAAGGATCCGTTCTTAGTCCGCTATTATTCAATCTATATACCTGCAAGTTACAACCGAGCTAGATCTGGAAGTCAAAATTATGCAGTATGCAGACGATATTATACTTCTACATAAGGCTCATACTTTGAATGAGGCTATTGATAAAATGAATATAACAATGCAACTCTTCCATAACTGGTGCACATCGTTAGGGTTTGTTTTGTCAGAAAATAAAAGTACAATAAGCCTCTTTACAAGACATAGGAAGTCTATAATTCCAGACTATATCAGCATAAGCAATTATGTTCTGAAGGTTGAACCTACAATTAGATGCCTCGGGCTACTTATTGATGACAAATTAAAGTGGAAACCACACATTGATTATCTAGTCTCTAAATGTGAAGAAGCACTGAATATTCTCAGGTTTCTTAATCACATAAATTATGGTGCTGATATCAAGATTTCTCTTAGAATATATAAGCAATTAATACTATCTAAGTTGGATTATGGTAGTTTCATATATGGCGACGCATCCAAAAGTGTACTTAGCAAACTAGACATAATTCAAAACAAAGCTTTGAGGTCTTGTTTGGGGGTCATGCGTTCCACGCCTATCAATGCGTTACATGTTGAAGCTAACATATATCCTTTACACTTGAGAAGGAGGTTATTGGCTTCAAACTTTATCATAGATAGAATGAAATTTAACAACGTAGTATTAAAGAATGTGAATCAGATCAATAATGAACTGAACAGCCCTACTGGAGAAATAGGAAGAGGCCTATACTAATAACTGCGTATCGTGAAGTGGTAGAAAAATGTAATCTCTTACAAACTTGGACTGCAACCTCAAGATTTCATTTCAAATACGATGTTACTTCTTCTAATTTGAAAAATATAATTCAAATCGATTTCGCCAATGCGCACTATAGCGGAGATACCAATAAATGTAGGATGGATGTCGAAGGAAGTATACATGAAACATTTGAAGACTATGATAGATTTTATACAGATGGTTCGAAGAATTCAGATGGTGTTGGTGCGTGTTTTTACCATCAGGGACAAATTCCTTCACAAAATATAAACTAGATAAAGATGCGTCGATATATACAGCGGAAATGTATGCTATTAATAGGTGCGTAAAGTATATTGATGAACATAATGTGAAGAAATCGGTAATAATCAGCGATAGCAGGTCTGCTCTTGAGGGCATGTTGTCGTTGGGAAAGGACCCGTCATTATTAACGATAGATACTCTAAATGACATACATGCGATATTATCAAAAAATTGGGAGTTACGCATTGTATGGGTAAGAAGTCATATTGGGATAGCTGGCAACGAAGCGGCGGATAACGGCGCCAAAGATGCAATAATACAGGGACTGTTGCTGCGGATGGAATATCTTATAGAGACATAAAAAGATTTAACAGAGCAAACATACGGAACATTTGGCATTTGGATTTTCAGTTATCTATTAGAATTAAAGGTAAATTTTATGGTATGATACAAGGAAAAATTCCAGTCAAACCATGGTATGACGGATTTAAGGAGTGTCGGCCGTTTTACACAACATTGTGTAGATTAAGACTAAATCATTCTTACGCTCCGTTCTGCCTAAGCAGAATTGGGATCGATATCGATCCTAGTTGCTACTGCTTGGGCGAAGCGACTAGGGCGGATGCAGAGCACATCATCATGGAGTGTAAACGTTGGGAAAGGGCAGACAAAAACTATGGGAGGAAATAATTAACAAAAATCTCCCTTCCAATTAATTTTATAACAGTGATGACAGATACAAGATTATATGGAGCTCTTTATATTTACATCAAATGTAATAATATAAAATTATAAATGCAATATACATAAAACAATGATATATATGTAAGAGATAGCGTAGATATTATGTAATTTAGTATATGGCTAATGTACCAGTTTATAAAGCCAATAAAATAATAAAAAAAAAAAAAAAAAAAAAAAAAAAATAACCGAATATATTTATCGTTTATTATAAATCGATAATTTGGTATCATCACTGTAGTTCAATAGAGGCATGAATAGCAATCTATGGTTTTAATATGGTTTATGATTTATAAATATATATTTTTTTAATATGAATAATTTAAAATGCCTAGAACAAAATTTTCAAGTCGTTTGATAAAATGTAGACAGACACAAATTCACGTTGTAGTTAAAAATTATACAAAATTTCAGTATGCAAGTATATGTATAGTTTGTACTAAATTCTAGTAAATTTTATCTAGTTTTAACTAATGTAAGTAAATTAACGTGCCAAAAAAAAACTAAAAGTTATTTGAAGAAAAGTAAAAAAAGTCCGAAATCTACATATTACGTTTAAATTTGCGGTTCAACTGAAA